TATCTCCATTTATGGTGGGGAAACTGAGGTACAGAGCAGGTAAGTGCTCATTCCAGGTTACCCAGCATTTGGGTAACTCCAGATGGGATTTGGGCACACACACCTGTACCAAACCCTGAAGTGTTTCCATGACATTATTTTGCCAGAACTTATGGGCAGGGGTCACTGAAGGCATCTAAGCAGGTGCCATCCTTTCTCCTAGAGCCAGGTCCAGCTGACCCACAGTTTCCAGGGCACGTGGTGTGTGCTGAGTTGTATTGGCTTTGTGACAATCCATCCATACCTCTCAGCTGGCTCCTCATGATCTAGAAGCCTTATTTTTAGTACTCCTGGCTGGGAATGGAGTAGTATGGCTGGCCCATAGCTGTGACCCTGTTTCCTCAGAGCTCAGCTAACTGTCCAGTCTCACTGGTTCATGCGCAGGGCGGCATGCTTACTTGTCATTTGTGGGGTGTGGACACACAGCTGAGGTTCTCTTCACAGTCATGTTTGATCAGTAGCCGGTAGTGACCTCTGACAAGGGCTGACCACAGCCAGCTCTTGGATTTTGTGACATGGCTCCAGCTCCAAGGAGTCTGCACGAGTTCACCATGGTTCAGCTGGAGGCAGACCTGCAGCGTCCTGACAGTTCCTCCAAAAGGTGTGGCCCGCAGGATGGGAAGGGGTTCCGCTCGTCCTCTGTCTGCTCCTGTCTCAGTCTTCTTCCCCCGCCCCCTACATTTCTTGACTCTTCCTCTAAAATGGCTCTCTGATTCATAAGTGTTTATTTGTCTGTCCATTTCTCCATCCAGGCTATGTGCTAGGGATGTGGCTGTGAGCAAACAGTTGACTACATGGCCGTTACACTCAGTCATCTGTTGCTGGGCATTTAGATTTCCTGGGTTCTGTTGTCAGGTTCTGATGCCCTCAGATATCCTGCTTTCCAGGAACAATTCCATAGATTTCTGGCATGGGTCCCATCCTGTGATTAATGGACTTGGAGGGAATGCAGGGCTTAGGCATGGTGGTCGTCCTTTTCCCTCCGAGTCCCTATCCTGTGGTGGTCACTGGGGCACGCCCTGGGGTGAGAAATGGTTAAGACACAGCCTCTGCCTCTTTTGAGAAGCTCAGTGTCCAGAGCAGAGGTTGAGGATGTAATTGCATCCTCAACAAAGAACTAGGGGGCCTGAAGAAGGGAGGAGCAGGCCTCTACACAGAGAAAGAGGTACACCAGCCATCCTTGGTAGACTGTCCTGAGCAAGTCATCCCTCCATTTGTAGCTGCGATCCCTTCCACAGCAGCCAAGCCCTATTTACTTGCTTATTTTCCTTACTGGGCTATACAAACTATACAAACAAAACTACCTTTAGTTCTTTTCTATCCCGCCCTTTCCACCATCATTGTTACTGTCCTTCCTGAATCCTGGCCAAGTTTCATTTCCTCACCACCCCCTGCCAAGTGAATCTGCATGCAGACATCTCTGGATGGGGGCCCCCTGCTAGGGACCTCTGCAGCCTTGTCTCTTGGCACTGTAGGTAAACGGTTTGCCGAGCAAGTACAGTGTTTTCTATATTGCTGAAGAAGATCTCAGTTTTGTAGTTTAAACTTTGGGGTGAGGCGAATCTTCCTTCTTCCATGGCAGCCCATCTCACACATTCCTTAGGATAGCAAGTGTCACTCTGTGTCTAACATAAAGTCTGGAGGAGGCTGCCTTGAGGTTTAGAGGGACAGAATACTTCACGAGCCGCACACATCGTCAAATACAGAAATCATCAGCACAGGTCCGACAGGGGATCTGTGTTGGCCCATCAGCTCTGATTGTGTGTGGGTGAGTGAGAGACCAAAGACGGATCTCTCTGGCACTGCAAGCTCGAGAAACACAGCGAGAGGCAGAAAGAGCTTGGCATTTACTCGGAAGCCCACATCTCCCTAGTTGCCAGTCAGCAGAGATGTTGCATGTTGGTTTCATGTATTCACTGCTCTTCCTTCCCTTTGGGAAGTCTGTACTTGCTTCACTTTTTTGTTATTAAAAAAGGGATGGGGGCAGGGGGGTGGGGGGTGGGGCGAAAAGGCAGCTCTGCCTTGTTCAAATGCTCAGAGATCCTGAAGGGCGGTCTGTACCTTCCAACTCTCCTGAGCATGTTCCCACAGGTGCCAACTCTGGGGTTAGGCTCTATTAATCCCCTGAGGAAGGGAGAGGGAGAGAGGGATAGAAATATCGATGATGAGAGAGGATCATTGATTGGCTGCCTCCTGCATGCCTCCTACTAGGGATGGAGCCTACAATCTGAGCATGTGCCCTGACCAGTCGAACCATGACCTCCTGGTTTATAGGTCAATGCTCAACCACTGAACCACACAGGCCGGGCACCATTTTAAAGAGGAGGAAACAGGAGCTCAGAAAAGCAAACTTGCCTTTGATCCCAAACTGAGCTAAGAGTGAAGAACAGGTCCCGCTGGTAAATGATCTCTCCTGCATCAAAGAAGTAATGTTGTTAGAATGAAGCAGCAGCCATGAGCCCTCAGGAGCCCGCTGAAGAGAACAGAAGTATTAACCATTTCAGTCAGGTGGCTGTGGGCTCCATGAAGAGCCAGCCAGACGTCTGCCCCTCGTCTGTAGACAGCACCCAGTGTCCAACCAGGGGACACGCATGGTGTCACAGTTGTGACATACACTAGCTGGGCTGCTGTCTGAGTGGGGATAGGGCTCAGAATAGTAACACCACTGCAGGCCCCTGTAAAGAGCCTGAGGGGTTGCACCCAAGATGTAGACCTGCCTGGGAGCCAGTGAGGGTGCAGGCTGGGTGGTGCAGGGCCACCACAGCAAGCCTGGGATAGGGTTTGAAGTCCCTCTGGCCTGAGTCAATGTCCCCCCTCCCTTCGGCCACAGCCAGTGGCCTTGGTGATGAATGTCCTGTCTTTCTGACTAGATTGTGTGTGTGAATGGCAGGGAGCAGTACACCTTACATCAGTTTCCTCAAGGGCCTGGCCCTGAGCTCAGCACATTGAAGCAGGTATAGAATAAGTGTTTGATGGGATCCGGGGAGGCCATTTCACACTCATATCCCATGGGGGAGCATGAATTCTCCCCCTATCGCCCCCCTAAGCCTGGCGTTAGGTGCTGGGGATATTAAGCCTCCTAGGACTTGGTCCTGCCCTCAGGTGCTCTCAGCACTCTCATGCTGGTGGCAGGAGAGGTGGGCTCCTCATACCCCAAAGTTTTTAGTCTTCTTGGTTTGGCAACTGGTAGCCCAGGTCAGCAGTGCAGAATTCTGCCCAAGCCCAGGGGACGCAGCCCCAGCGCAGTGTTTCCCGGTAGGATGCAGGCTCCTCTGCACGTTCCCAAGCCCCTAGCGAGAGCCTCCTTTCGGCGGTTTCCCTCTCCAGCCCCTTACGCACACTCTTCATGGGAGAGGATCCAGCCTGCGTCCAAGAGCACTACTACATCATCCTTGGCACCGGCAGGACCCCACCTCGGCCACCTATCCTCAGGCTGGAGAGGGTCCCAGCCGGCGCAGCGTCCCACCCCGCAACGTGGGGCGGGGGAGGGGCACTCCCGCAGCTGCCGAAGCCTCCCGGAGCCGCCGGGACCCGCGCGCGTGCGCGTGCACGTGGAGGGGGCGGGGAGGGCGGCGCGCCCCGCGGAGGCCCCAAGCGCCTTTCCCACACCTCACGCAGCACCTGTGGTCCCTTCTTTCAGCGTTGTAGCCAGACCCACGTGTGCAAAAGTGGTGTGTGTGTGTGTGTGTGTGTGTGTGTAGCCGGGAGTCCGTGTGCCCCAGGTCTGTCAGGCCCGTGTGCACAGGGGAGGCAGCCAGGGCGACAGTGGCCGCTCTTCTTTACCCTTCCAGTCCTTCTCGGCCCTTTCCTCTGGTTTCTTTGGGTCATTGGTACCTCCAGTCCCCCCCGCCCCTCTTCTGCCGCCCCTTTTCTGCAGTAGAAGAGACCAGCGCCTTCCGTGGAGGTTCTGGTTCACCCCCAGCTCCAGAGCCCTTGACATTTAGTGAGGGTTCAAGGCGCACGGGTGTAGGCACACAGCAGAACGATAATCCTATTAAAGATATGGTGTCATTGGGGAGGGGGAGGCTCCCCTCCCCCGCCCCTGGCAGACCTCGCACTCATTGGTTGAATGCAAAACAGGGGGCGGGGCTGAGGGCCAGGCGAGGGGGCTCCGGGCGATTTCGGAGTCGGGAGTCGGGGCTGGGATTTCACTGGGAAAGCCCAGCGGCGGTAGCTGCGGCGGATCCCCCGGCACTGTCTGCGGCGCGCCCGCCCAGCCTTGGGCTGGCGAGCAGCTCCGCAAAGTCGCGGAGAGAAAGGAGGTGGAGCGCCCACCAAGTGGTCGGGGCTCCGCGCTGGGGCTGGGTCGGGCGAGGTGTGTGCCCTGGGAGCCTGGATCCCGGAGCCCTGGTGCCTCGCGTGGAGCGGTCAGTGCACTGGGAAGCGAGCTGACGCTCTGGAAAGAGAAGTCAAATTGCAGCCTTCCCAAAGACATCTGCTAAGTTACGCAGGCCAGCCAGTTCCCGGAGAGCATTCGCGAGCGCGCAGAAAGCCGAGCCGCAGAGCCCTCCCGGGCCAGCCGGCTGGGAGTAGGGCAGCGGCCCCTGTGCAACGGGGTCCGGTCCGGAGTGTGCCCGGGTACAGAGAGGAGGCGTGCAAGGCTCCACCTGGCCTCCTGCAGCCTGCGTCCGACTTGGGCGCCCCCTCCGTCCCTCTCCGGGAGCGATGCCCCCCGCCCCTTGCGCCCCACGGGAACGCCTCGAGCATGGAGAAATCGAGTAGCGAGGATTCTTCGATCCACCGGAGTCCATCTTTGGACAGCAAGGACTCGGACTTTGCCAAGCCGTCCACCTCGGGCCGCCCGTTCGGCCGCGGCTTCACTGCCGGCGCCTTCTATGGCACCGCGGGCTCCGGGGGCCAGAGCCGCGCGGAGGCTGGAGTCAAGACTGACAAGTACAATGCCCCGAAAGGCAGCAAGTACGTGGTGTTTTACCTGGACCTGTCCTTTGTTTTCCTCCTAGAATTTAAGAAGTGCAACATGGCCAGGGGCTGCCTCTGCTGTTTGAAATACATGATGTTCCTCTTCAATTTGATATTCTGGGTAAGTCCTTGCGCTTATCCCTCCCTTTGCCTTCTCTCCTCGTCTATACCCTCTTCCTTTTTGGTGCTGCATTGCTCTGCTCTCCGCAGAACGGTAAGTGGGTTTTTTTCTAAGATCGTTATTTCCCCTCGTCCATGTATCTTCCTCTTCTTTTCTCTCTCCTTGGCTGAATGGAGGCTCCAAACTTGCCTTTCTTCCAGGAGAGGCTAACTGTACTCCTAGGAGGCTGGCAAAGTTTGCCTCCACCTCCTTCCCCTATAAGAAACCGGCCTGGAAGTGCCTCTAACTGGATAAGCTGCAGAAATAGGTGTGGGGTCCGAATTTTTAACAGCTGTGACCCTGAGTTGAAGACCGGCACAAGTGTGAATAGCCTTTCTGAGTTTCTTCTTCTATCCCTGCTGAATATGCAAGAATACTGTCTGCAGCATTTTATAGGCACCAGGTAGGGGAGTGGTAGAGGTCATATCCTCCCACTCCTGTCAGTGAACTCCAGGAAAAGGAGGAATAGCCCCTGTCCCAAGTTGAGGGACTCCCTTGCTGGACTGCAGATATGCCTCTCAGTTAGGGCTCCTGTGAAAAAGGAGGGTGTGGGAGGGATGCTGCCAGCGGGTGGCAGGCAGCTGCTTTTGAGGGAATGCAGGGGGAGCGGGCGGCCATGTGCTCCACTTCCACCGTGAGCCCTCCCAGCTCTGAGAACCCTAGAGACTAGAAGGGACAAAGGCGGGGAGGGGCAATCAGGAGTGCTCCATGCTGGGTGAGAGATTGTTTTCTAGAGAAGATATCAGTGGGTGGGGCAGCTTGGAAACATTCCCCAACCTCTGTGATTCTGGAGGCCCTGTGAGTGCGGCTTGCACACTTGTCATAAGAAATACTCGTTAGGCAGATATGAAAACTTCTTAACCTTATATCTACTAGTAATTGTTCCTTCATCCCAACTGCTGCTTCCGCCTTTCTTCACCAGAGCCCAAACGAAGTCAACACAGATGTTTGGCTCTGCCCCAGGGCCTGTCCTGCCGACTAGAGGGACTAGAGGGACTAGAGGCTGTCAGCTGCCCGTGGTCCAGGAGGAGCACTGGGGGCAGGAGAAAGTCATTCACAGTGAAGCCAGTAGAAGCACTTGTGTTTTGGTGTTCAACGTTTGTGGGAAGTGGCTGGCTTTAACTGAAGAACTTTTTGGTTGTGTAGGATGGGGGCGACTTTTCCCACAGAGGGGAAAACTCAGGTTGGGTGGGAAGAAGTCTGGGTTCTTGGTTCTGTGTTAGCTTCTTTTGTGACCTTGGCTAAATTGCATCATTCATTAAGGAATAGGTGTCCTTTCCAGCCCAAGGGGGTGCAGGGCGGGGGGGGGGGGCTGTCAAGATGGTCTCCCTCATGCGCTCACTTCCGTAGGTATGGGTATCCTTGTCTTCTTTATGGGGAGGAAGCCCCTTCCCTGCCTCATGCATAGGCTGCTGCTTCTCTTCAGAGGAGCCTGGTTTGAGGTTGTTTGAGTTGAATTTTCCCAGATAGCTCCATGGTCCGGGGCCCTCCAGTCACTGTGTTACCTATCCTTTGGTGAGGTTTTGTGGAAACGGGGGCAGAACCACTGGAATGTGAAGAATGATTTTGTGGCCACCATTGGGCAAGTGCTCCTGGTCCTCTGACTCACTTGCCGACAATAGTGTCAGCCAAACACTGGTGTGTATTTCTCTGGTGCCTACGAATTACAGGAATGCTGCCCTTTCATTGTCTACAGCTTCCTTCTCTGTTCTTGCCCACAGTCAACCTGCCTTCCTGTCTCACCCCACTCTGCATATCTTAACACTTACTAGAAAGACCCTCCTGGGATGCTCACTCACTGTCTTTCTTGGCCAGTAGCTCCCTGCTCCTCCCACCCCCACCCCGCCACCTGCTGGCCAGAGTGGGTATAACTGCTGCAGCTTCTTTCTCTAGGATGTTGTCAACTTGGTTTAGGGACCGCCTCACATAGTATAGCTCAATGGTCTGTGCTCCGTACTTAGTAGGCATTTGTTATATGTTTGTGAGTAAGTGAATTGAAGGCCACAACAGTAAATCTACATGTTAATTGTGTTGCACGATTCCCAAGTCCCACTTGGTAGGGACTTGTCCAAGATGAAGGCTCTCCTAGCAGAGCACCTCAGCTGTGGGGTGACAAGAGGCTCCTTTCATCATCCCTGAAAATCTTGGCAGAGGTTAATGAGCTGGTTGATGGAGAGGGCTTCCTTTATGGTCCATAGTGAAAGGACTTGCTGTCTCTTCCTAATAAGAAGGTACCACCACCACTCTCACCGGCAAGGAGTGACTCTCTCCTAATCTCTGACTTTTCTGACGTTTCAGAATTCTGATGACATACTATAAGCTGGGAGAAATTGAATCTCAAAGATCCAGGTCTTTTATGCTAGTAGCATATGAGATGATGAAATAAGACAGACCTTAGGAAAAATGGAAAACTTAGCAAAAGAGAACTGGATGCCTGTGTGTAAGAGTGTTTGTTGGGAGGTGGGAGAGCAGGTGCTGCAGGGTGTTGGCCAGGATTTGGTCCCGGTGGGTCACTGAGCTCCACTTGTATGATGACTTCTGTGGCCAGGTGATTAGGCCTGAGACGGGAGAAGGAGTGGAGGAAAGAACCAGGTGAGAAGAGAAAGTGCTTGGGCCTCAGGCAGGTGGGACAGGACCTCTGGGAGACCTCTGCTCTTTCTAGAGCACAGGGAGGGAAGGTGACGGGGTAGGGAGAGGAGGAATGCAGGGTTGGTGAGAGTCAACTCCTCCAGGACCCAGCGCAATGGTCAGGAATTAGGTAGCCATCACTTTCTCTAGTCTCATGGCCCAGATCCCAAAAGGAGGCTTTTCTGAGGCATTAGAGTTGAACGTGAGGCCTGCAATCAATAGACAGCGATCTTCCTTAGATCCCGGAGCCTACCTGGTAGTTCTCCAAACCCACTGCTGCCACCATGCCCCCTGCCTCCTCAGAGCCTGCCGGGAGGGCTCCCAGTGCAGCTGTCTTACACCGAAGCCTCTCTCAGGCGTGAGAGTCCCTGGTTCCTTGCCACTGGGTGGAGCTTCTAGGGTGTTGGTACTGGTGAGGGCTTGGGTGACATGACCGAGGACAGGGTGGGAGGCAGAGCCATGCTGCCAGCATTCCTCTTCCTTACCAAGAAAAGGGCAGAGGCCTTACAGGCTGCTGGGTGCCTGCCTGCTTCGGGCTGGGGGTGGGGTCCAGGTTGCTCCTGCCACTGCCGACTTCAACCAGAAGGTCCTAGCCATGTTAGCCCTCAGGGCAGCATTGTGGAGGGCCTGATATTGATGGCAGGGGTTGAGGAGGGGGCAGTCAGTGGTCATGCCTGATGGAGTCCCACTTGTCTATTGCATACCTCACTCCAATTCTCACAGCCCAGAGAACGCTGGCTTTTTGGAGGAAAGGAAATAGGAGCCTGAATTGGGACAGAAGTTTCCCCATCCTGAAGGGCCCGCCCACCAGTAATGAAACCCACCCCAAGTTATTTCTCCCAGCAGTATTCCCCTCAGTCAGTTCATCTCTGAGTCCTCCCAGAGCCATTTGGTGGAACCCTCCAGGTAGAGATTAAGTGAATCTAAGCCCCAACAGGGGGGCAAAGGGGGCCCAGAGCTCTTTACTCTAAGAAGGGAGGGAGAGTATAGCATGGGCTCTGAGTGCTGGGGGCCTATGTCCCCTTCTCAAGAGAGCAAATCGGATCCCAGCCCAGCTTCTCCCAACCCAAGTCAAGTTCCTGTCTGATATGGAGAGGCAGAGGTGGGGCTGGGGCTGCTGGCATACCAGTAATTGCCACTCCGGATAATGGTCACTTTTCATGCTTGCTAGCAGAGCTGTCCCATCACTTTAAGTCATGGTTGGTGGAGCAGTGACATTCTGGCCCCAATGGAAAGTCTATTCCTTGTGGAGTTCTCCTTAATAAAGGCCAATGAGCTAAGGAGGCAGTGTTCAGTGTGCCTGCTCGAGCAGGGGAAAGGTTGGCACAGGGCTGCTATGGTCAGGGGGTCAGGCGGGGGCCCTGATTAACCTCCCTTAAGTGGGGTCAGGCCTTTGTGGCTCGGCCCCTCTGGGAGCAGGCAGTTTGGTTAAAACTCTCCAACCACATTTGAGGCATGTGTTTGGTACTGGTGTGGCCGCATGTATGTGCCTCTGTGGTCTGTGGTGCCAGGACAGGGGTCTGTACACAGTTGGTGCTAGACGGCTTGGGGTGTTCTAAGAAAGCTGTGGGGTGCCTTCTGTCTGGGAATGGAAGTGGTGAATGGACTAAGAGGTCTGAGCATGACAGGTTCAGACTTGGCCTCTCCAATCAGGAGATCCAGGCTAAACTTGGCAGCAAGAGGCATTCAGAGGCTTCCCAAAGTGCTCAGGTGTGAGTCACTAGGCTGTTCCTGCCCCCCCCCCCCGCCCCCCCGCCCCCGCCCCCGCCATGGCTGCTACAAGTAGATGTTCAGGGTGGGTCAGGCGTGGCTCCGCCTGGGGGGATGGGCACAGATGAAGGTCCTGGCTAATGCTCCGAGACTGTGGAACATGGCTATGAGGGAATGCTGGCTCTCTGTTCACTTCCTTTCCAAAGCATTAAAAATTAAACTTCTTTGTCTTAATATCTATTTTTAAATCATGTCAGAGCCAGCATTGGTGTCAATCAAGAGTGGGTGGGGAGGAAGAGGGTAGAGAATAGAAAGTCCCAGCAGAAACAGGGTAAGTGCTGTCACTGCCTTGAGGCAAGTGACACAGGTCTGTCCTCCATCCCACTGGGCGGTGCAGAGCACAGAAAACACCATCCACCTCCTCTGAGGATGGTGGGCTGGGAGGAGTCTATGGGGGTAGGGGGTGGGGAGGGAGGGCTCACCTTGGGTTGGGGCTCGCCCTCCCCCTGCCCTACCTCCATGTGCCTGCCTGCCCGTGGCTGAATGTGGCAGCCAGTCCTGGGGCATACAGGGCTGCTGGGGACCCAGTTGAGTCCGTTCACTCATGCCACAACTATTTACTG